TCAGGTTTAGTTCTAGAATGTCACGGAGCTTTGTTCGAAGTATCCATCAACAATGTTGTCACTTTAAAGCCAAGAAAGCAGTCAACCAAATATTTCTTGGATCTGGGCCTTCTATTGCACTAACAACATTGGTAGTGATAAACCTAATTGGGATCTTCTCTTGTGAAATGAAACAAACAACTACAGGGTTGCAAAGGAGCTTTTAAGTTATCCTGCCAACACTACAGCAAACAAATACTTGACTATGACTAGACAGAATCTGCGCCTGTTCACAGGCATTTTGACTGATCACTTCCAAGTTCGAAAGCATCTCCATTTCATGGGGATGTCAAAAACCACACTCTGCAGGGGGTGCAACCAAGAAGATAAGACCATCGAGCATATCCTCTACGATTACCCGAGTCTCTCATTTATTAGATCATTTGTGTTTGGCGAGAATTGGCTAATATCGGTAGATATAAGAGAATCACTTCTTGTCGACGTTGTCAACTACATTAAATCTGTAGGCTGGCTCACGAGCTAGGAGAAAGCACAATGGGCCTAGTAAGGCCTAAGTACCGTAAAATAACAATTTTACATACGTTACAGATACAGATAGTATAAAAAATAATCCTACAGATATCATATATCAAATTTATTTATAACCAATATTATTGATATAAATGTAGCAAATAAAATAGCAGATGTTATATTTATAGCATAAATGTTTAGTAATAATTGAATATTCAGTTGTTTACCAATATCGCAAAGGTACTTAATAAATAATATAAAAGAGGAACAAAGAAAACTTTGTATTAATAACCCCTACCATCATATTATCTTAATCAGCAAGTATACCAAACTATTACACCCATTCTGATAGCCAAACAGATTTAAAGGAAATTCTGTCACCATAAATCGAAATATTATTGATGAATGACTGCCTTGAAGATAAGCCAAAAGCTAAGCTATCAAAACAAAGTGATATTAGCCTGGGTACAAGGTAACGAAGATTCAAATAAGACCGTAAAAGGTCCCTAATTATTCTTTGGAGTTTTTAAGAGTACAAGGCATCCAACAAGCAATGGATGCAAAAACAGTCTTAGAAATGGTGAAAAGCTATCCAGGATTGAGGCATGTCAATGAGTTCGTTAATTAACCCCCAGTTTACGAAAGATCTACTGAATCAGAAACAACAAGTCATTAGCAGATTAGTAGGTCTTCCTATGAAAGCGCATAATTTTCATCAATACAGCAGAAGCCACATTGTGTAGGTTCTATTTTAGTGTAAAGACCTGGTTAGATTGAGGTTTGTAACACTAGGTCAAGAAAAACCAGACCAATATAATTACATGCGGAAGCCACTTTCACAGCTACTAAGAAAATAACACCATGATAGAAGACATACTCCAAACAACTGAGTACCACAATATATCTGAAAAGGTCGCGTTGAACAAGGACAAATAATGTTCAACTCCTTTAAAATCTAACAAATGAAAATAAAATAAGAATATGACCTACTTAGAAACGTTTAAAAGACAATATGAAAAGAGTACTTTATAGGAGAATATTATGTGCCATGAAGAGACCCAACAATTTAAATTGAGTTATAAATATTCATTTTTTCAAAGCTTTGGCCAAAGTATCCATCAACAATGTGGTCACCTTAAGATAGATTAAAGGTCACGCCACATCGAAAAGTAACCGTCTTGCTGATTCACTAGCCAAGAAAGCAGCCAACCAAATACTTTTTGGACCTGGCCCTTCTATTGGCCTGACAAAATCGGTAGTGACAGACCTAATTAAAGAACATTCTCTTGTGAAATTCAGGGAAAGATGAGATGAAACAAGAAACTGCAGAGTTGCCAGGGAACTCTTAAGTTATCCTGACAACACTGCAGCAAACAAATACTTGACTATGACTAGCCAGAATATGCGCCTAGTCACAGGCATTCTGACTGGTTATTGCGAAATACGAAAACATCTCCATATCATGGGGCTGTCAGAATCAGCACTCTGCAAAGGGTACAAACAAGAAGATGATACCATCGAGCATATCCTTTTCGATTGCTCGACGCTCTCATTTATTAGAAGATTTGTGTTCGGCGAGTATCGGCTAACACCGGCCGATATAAGAGAAGCACCTCTTGGCGACGTTGTCAACTACATTAAATCTGTAGGCTGGCTCACGAGCTAGGAGGTGCCTATTATCTCAGGAGGATGCACAATGGGCCTAATGAGGCCTCAGTGCCGTGGGGTAACCCACCCTCCACACGTTACAGATACAGATAATATTCATTTAATTGTATTATCTTTTGTTAATTTTTTTAAAGCTACTGTTATTTGTCTCAATCAAATCAATTTTTAAACTTTATTATTAACTGTTTACCACTTTTTAAAACTGATATAATAATATTGAAATGTGTATACGCCCATTGCGAGCTTTTAATACCATTAAAAAAATGTTTGCTGGGCCATTTCTGCGCCCTGTGCCTTGGGCACCTCTATAGTTACGACACTGTGTGTAGGTAAAATCATTATCGTATCAAAAATTTCACTTTATGGTCTCTAAACAGAATCATTTTTAGTTTAATCGATTTATTCAAACTGTTTTTAATAATAAAGCAAACACATATCTATAAAATGAATCAGAGAATGATAACTGGATGCTATGCGGTTTCCATAATTCCAACGATTCTAAAAATACATCGGTAAACAACATTTTGAACTTTTTAAAATACTATAAATAAACTTATTATTTATTATCCAGTTATGGGACCTGCTTCACTGTATAATTTATAGAGGCTATTATTTTCAATCTTGATTATACAAACCTGTATTATTTTTCATCATCATAATCAGCTGTGAAACTACAAGGTAGGTACGTATTGTGATAATCGCTATTATGTAAACAGAAGTGTAAGTAAAGTTTAATGGTTTAACAGATGATTGAACAGTTGATAATATCTTGTTGAAAACAATAATTATGGTTGAAATGTTATTTCATCGTTAAATAAATTTGGGTGTTCTTACTGTTTTATTATTAACTATTGCTATATCTTTTTTAAATTTAATTTCTTATTATACTCTTTTGTTGTCTGTGAAGGGTATTATAGGTTTACTTTGTCCGTTTGTTAGATGTCACGTTTTTTGTCGAAAACGAAAAATGATATAAATTTGAAAATTTCAGGAAAAAATCAAGCTTTATAAATAGATCAAGCCTGTGAATTAAAAAAAAATCTAAATAAAAATGGGGGGGTTAAGGCGGATTGAAATATTTGAAAAAAAATCCCAACTCAAAACCGAAAAATGTTATCAACATTTTTAACAAAGCCTATTGATTTTAAAAAATTTGGTAAAAATGGGGGATTAAGGAGGTTGAAATTAAAAAAAAGTCATAAATCAAAAACGAAAAAAACGAAAAATAAGGAGATCAAGCCTATTGATACTGACAATTTTTTTTATAAATATGGGAGTTAAGGGGAGTTATAATATTTAAAAAATCCTAACTCAAAAACGGACAATATTTTTAAATTGATTATTGGCAAACATCAAGCCCGATAAGGGGACAAAACAATTGATTTAAAAAAAAATCTGAATAAAATTGGGGTCAACGAAGGGATGCAATAAAAAAAATAGAAATTTAAAACCAAAAGCGATATCAACATAAACTGTTTACTAAAAGTCAAGCTCTATAAGGAAATCAATAAATAAATAAAAAAAGGGGGAAATATTAAAAATGTTTTAACTCAGACTCATGGGAGTTAAGGGGGATCTGTTAAAGTGTGAAGAGTATAATATAGAATGCCAAGTATTATATATAAAATAAGAAAAAATAAAGGATATAAATATCATTTTCTTAGAAATATGTCTTTGTATAATTCTGGTATTATTAAAAATTAGCTTGTAAATTATACAATTTTCAAATGTATACAGTTCAACATATATACAGTTTCATATAACAAAAATAAACTTGTTAAAAATGGAAAACTTATATATTAATTTATAAAATGATTTATTAATGTAAGATTTTTAATAGTTTCACATAGAAAAGTATCTATTTAAAAAAAATATTTTTATAAGTATTTAATATTTAATACTTTTTAATTTTATTTGTATTTTTTTATCCATGCCTAATTATTTAAATATTTGTTAATTTGTAAAAATAGGTCCTTAGAACATTTTTAATATTTATCGACATAGAGTAAATGTTATATGAATATAGTATATAGTTTTTTATTTAATGGGTAGTTTTATGAATTAAATATTATTAACTAATATTAAAAACTTCAAACTTATTTCGATTTAAAAATAAATAAAAATAAATTAAAGGAAACATGCTTGTTAATAACTTATATGTTGATTTTTTGTTTTAGTGATTTAATGTTTAATAATATATAATTACATATTTGATTTATATGAAATTAAAATTAAAAACAATAAAGAGGATATCATTTACTTAATTTACATTTTCCAACAACAAAACCTATTTAAATATTACTCTCATTCATATAATATGATAAAACTTTATATTTTGTAATTTTTTTGTTTTTTAATATTTCAAGTCATTTTTAAATTACATTTAGAAATCGATTTCTACATTATTGTTAATCAATTTAATATAATATATTTATAAATATATTTAATATATTTAATTATTGTAATAAGAATTTAATAAAAGTACAATGATTACTTTTATGTAATTGATCCAAAAAAAATTGTAATTTATTGTTGAGAGAGCAAATCAAATATTAAAATTTAAAATAAGTATCTTAAAGTATATGTTTTTAAAATTGATTAATGTTCTCTTAATTAAATTATTAATTATTATTGCCTAATATTAATATCTTTCTAATTTTAAAATATAAATAATTGTTTACAATATTTCGAAACAATTTGCACTATTTCATTGATTTTAATTAAAATTCTTTTATCCTCTTCATTGCTTACCCATTTTTATTCCAAACAAAATCACGAATAACACAAAAATCAACACAAAAAATTCACAAAGTCACACATACCTCGATGCTGTAAGATTTCTTGATAGCGAACATTTCGCGATTTTTCTGAGCCGCTGCTACAGCCGCCATTTTCTTCAATAACACTCGGAGATTTCAACGGGCAGTTAGAAAAAACTCAAAAACTCGCAAAGATCAGCCTGAAAATGTATATTTTCACTGCTGAACGACCGACGTTGTAAAAACCGCTTTTAAAATTTATATTTTCGACCACGATTTGGAGACCGTCTGTCAAAAAAGGGGAAAGGGCTATTCAACGCTAGTCAGCGAGTGGTCAAAGTGATCCGGAGCGATTCGAAACAGCGGTATATATGTAGGTGAGCCCCCCAAATGGGGGGCCGGCCCTTTCAGCTAGCCGTCGCGTCGTGAAAAAATGTGACGCTTGCGTATGTTGGTCCGGGTGACTCCGGGATCCCCGTGAATGCGTGTCTACAAGGTTTTGTGCCGGTGATAGCGATCTCCAGTAGCTGTTGGTCTTTTTCTTTCGCCTCCGCGCTACCGTTGAGATCCGCTGCCGCCGGCAGTGGCGCGTGGAGGTGTTTTTGTAAGGTTTTCTTCGTACATATACTTTTTGATTCAACATTATTGCTATATTCATCAGAGTATGATTTTTTTAAACTTTTATTTCAAAAAAGTTGTAAATAGAATTTGATCTATTAAATTAAATATTTGCCGAATATATTTAATAATTATTTTATCAGTAGCATAAATAATCTAAATCTCTTTTTAGTTATAGCAAATGTTATAAATATCAAAGAAAATACAGTTTAAGAATTATTTATATATTTAAAGAAATATTTGATCAAAAAAATAAGTACACAGAACATTAAATAAATTTTAAACTAATTAAAAATAAATTTGGATTTGTAACATATTTTCTTATTTTATTATTACATCTCTATCTAAATATGTATTAATAATAATATTGGAAAATCGAAAGGTCGTCAAAATAAATGTATCAATGCTGGGCAGTTGGAAACTAGAAAATCAAATGGGAATTAAAATCAAGTTTGTGAAGAGATGTCATGAGGGATTGTTGAGAGAAGTTTAGCACAAAGACCTATAAAGGAATTTAATTAAAAATCATCGCTATTTATATTTTGGACAAATTAAATAAAAACAAAAGGTAAAAAATTTAATTTAATGATTAAAACTAGATAGAACCAGAAGGAGAATAGCAGAAACATCCAGAGAAGTTGTAGAGGGTAGAAAAAGGAGAATTTGAAAGAGAAAATCAAAGTAAAATACAACACAGAAAATGAGAGCAGCCAGAAAAAAATTAAAGAGGCCCCAGTTCCTTTCAAATCAAATTTTGTTTCTTTCAAATTATTTTCCTTTTGTAGGTTTGAACTTCCCCATTTCGAGATTTTCATAGTGATTTGAATTCCATCTATTGGGTGTTGCCCAATATGGAACAGATACGTAAAATGAGGACTGAAAAAATTTGCGAGCTAAAAGGCAGGGGAAGTTTGGACGACCTTTTATTCATAATTTAAATTGTTGATTTATTTATTTGAACAATTATTAGTGTGCATATTTTATGTTGAAATTTGGAATATTATTGAAACAGAATTATTCAAAATTTGGGTAGAAGGTTTGGGAAAATTAAATTAGCGCTAAAATAAGAGTAAATTAAGAAATAATAATATAATAATATAGACAAGTGAAAGTTGTAATAAGTGTAATAAAAATTTTTGTTAAAATTGTGTGAAACTTTACAAAAAAGTGATTAGACGGATCTGCGAGGAAGAAAGAAAGTTAGATCGATGGAAAACAATAAAAAGGATGAAAGAAAGAACTTAAAACAAGTAGGACAGAGAGTTTTGAAGCAATAAGATTAAGACAATACAGGTATAGAAGAAAAGGAATAAGAGAAACATACTATAGTAAGAAAGAATAGTATTGAAACCTTCATAATTGTTAAAAACAAATTTCATTTTTTTTTGTTCTTTATTTAGAAATTAATTAACCATTACTTCCAGGTGCTGATTTAGTTTTTGACTTTAATTTATCTATTAGTTTAACTGACTCATATATTAAGTTATATGTATTAATTTATAATTGCTGTTTCAGTTTCGAATTTTTTAATTTTTGCTTCTCAAATTACTTCGGAAATATTATCATCAAATTCTGATATTACTAATTATATTTCATTAAAGTATTCAAAGCAAAAGAAAACTGCTTCGAGCCACGTTCCCCACCTTAATTACTGGCAAAGGGACAACGGAGCCTTTAAGAAAACTTTTTCATACAATTTATAAAATCATTTATCAACGGAAACAAATTTCATATTTCTGTGGGCGACACAAGTGAAATGAATTTCAAAAAAGGCACAAAATGGCGGAATTTACGAAAAATGGCAAAATCTGCAAAAAAAATACCTTGAATAGGCAAAATAAGTAAAAAGGGCAATTTGCCTATAATTTTAGTCATGAAGGTTTTTGAGAGAATTGTCTGTGGAATTTGAAAAACACTGTAAGATAAAAATAATTTTAAAGTTGTGCTCAAGAAATTAAAAAGAACGAAAAGTTCATTAGAAATCATCACTATTTGTATTTTGAACAGATTAAATAAAGAAAACGGATAACTAGATCAACCCAGAGGGAAAATAGTAGAACATCTAAAAAAGTAGCAGACGGTAGCAGGAAGAAAAGTTTGAAATGACAAAGAAGGGGGAAATCTAGCGCTGAGTAAGAGGACCCAAAAGGAAAGTAACCAGAAAAAGAAAGAAAAAATCTATTTTTTTTATTTCACTTGATTATGTAGGTTTGAAACTGCTCCGTTTTGAGATTCAATATCAGTATATTCCCTGAAATTTTCGAAACTTCAACTTCAACTATTGTACCCATACCAAAAGAACAAAGAATTCATTTATTGGATGATCATAGCCTGTTTTCATGTTCATCTTTAGTTTAGTTATTATTTTGTATTATACACACTACAATTTTGTAGTCTACCAAACATTGATAAAATAACTGAATATTTCCATTTAAAAAAAGGTCCCGATGACGTCTTAAAATGTAAATTAATATTACTAATCAAATATGTGTTTTTTTCCAGAACATTTAAGGAAGTTACAAACATCGACGTAAACAAAGAAGCTCAAAGAATTGTGGATGTATTTACATCTATTTAACCTTGGGTACTGCCTAAATATAATTTTGAATTGAAACATCTACAAAAATATTTAGTTTTTATAAGTAAATACCTATCAAGTATAAAAAAGTGCATATCTATAATTAAAAAAATCTACAACTACATATTAGCAACAGGTGTGTGTATTTATCTAAGATACTTCTCCTAGGAAATTACATTCAGATCTTGATTCATTCATAAAGATGGGTTTATTAATATTCCCGACCACAAACACTGATTATGAATATATACTTTATTAAATGCCAAATATTCTGAGAAATAAAACTTTGTTGTGCTAGGACTTCCCAGTGGTACCGTTTTTTACATATTACAATGAATATTTTTCAAGGAAAATGAATTATGGAAAATTATTTTGCCAAATTCTAAAATGATTTTGTTTAATACCATATTTTTTGTTTGTTTATTTTACAGCTTGGTAAAAAAATCAAGGTTGACCTGTTACTTTAAATATTGATGAAATAGGTTTTCTGAATTATTCAGATAATGTTTTCAAATGATTCCAAAATAATTTATTAAAATTAAATTAAATATTTAGGCATAAAACATGCTTAAACTTATTATTAAAAAAATTACGTTTTGTCTTATTTAAATTCGTACCAGGGTGAAAGCACCAATGAAGAAACAGTTAAGGGATTTATTATTATTTTTTATTTAAATAACAAAAAAAAATTCTTTTTATTAGATGATCTAGCCTGATGTACTTAGTTTTAATATAACTAGTTGTAAAACCAATAGGACAACAGATTGATTTTTAAACAAGTTTTATATTCAAAAAATACCAAAAAGCTCAGTAAAGAAACAGGAAATCTAGTAAAGAAATTTTAAAATTCGAATAAAGAAACACACTTTTGTGAACTATTTAAGGCATAAATAATTGTTCGCCTGAAAAGTCAAAACATGAAACTAAAAATGTAAAATAAAACTTATTCTAAATAAAAATTGGTATGTATGTTTAAAAACTTTTTTTGTTAAAAATATGTCCTTATTGAATTCCTGGCACTTAAAAAAAAGAATGACAAATATACTTTAAAGGTAAACTTTCTCTTTTATTATTGGCTAAATAATCCAAATAAAATTCGTTTAATTTCAGGTACCACATGGACCAAAGAAAACTAATTGAAAAAGGACAGAAGAGGAAGGAAGTTCTTCAGCCAGAATGACAATCTAGGGTTGCCAACAAATTACCATATTTTAGGACCAAATGACCTTGGCCTTGAACTTAAATTTGAATAAATGAAAGTCACTGTAGATTTTAGCAAAGAAGAAGTAATTTGGAATTTGAACAATTGCAATTAGATTCATAAAAGAGAAGAGGGAAGGTCAAGGTCGACAATATATGTCAAAATGTTTGTTTACATTCAGGTACAGGTTATAGAAAATTTATATAGGTACATAATTTAAACAATCTTGTGTTTTCTTTTCTCGACAGGTTAGCTGATTATTAAATTATTTAACTTTTATATAAATATTGCGTCGATAAAATGCGAACCTTTTGGTATCCCAAATTTCCTCGCTGCATTATTAAGCTTGTGTGTTTCAAGCTTTACTGCTTGTACTGCTTTAACAAGTTTTTTTAGCTGTACTTAAAGCGACTGGAAAAATTTGTTTTAACATCTTTTCCAGGCATACCTAGGTTTGTGTTTTTCTTTTGTAAGTATCTCTGAAATAAGAGAAAGTGGTGTCCATTGAATGTACCCAGTAAAGAAACCTTTAGTTTACCCAATAGAGAAACCATTAAAATGACGTTTCTCAACAAGTACTAATTTTCAGAATGTTAAGTATATGACCTCTAAAACAACAAACTATAATCAAACTTAATCAGCTTAAGCATTCTTGATAACTTAATGTTGACTTATATCCAAAATACAAATGTTTAAAGTAGGCAATACCTATGCTTATCTTAGATTTTGCGCATCTAAAATGGAGTCGCGAAAATAGCACCTTATTCTACATTTTACAGACGACTAATACAACAATAAACTTTAGAATCAAATGTCACTAAAAGTAGGAATGCCAACTTACATGGCATCAAACTCGCGGGAAATATAAAGCGTACCCATTCCTTAATATATTTAAAAATGTAGATTTTTGTTTTTTTACTGGTTCAGTTTCTTCACTGGTGCATTTACCCCATATCATCAATGTTAGAATTACCACAGAAGATAATTTTGTATCATAGCCTTTTC